CAATGGGAGAAATTCCACAGAAAGAAAAGGGAAAAATTCAACCCCCAACAGCCTCAAAATAAGCGATGCTGGCAGCGAGTGTGTGCTCTCCACCCTTCCTCACTGTGGGGTTGCAGCCGCTGGGGACTGCTGCTCTCTCTCCTTGGCCACTGCCGTAGTCTTGTGTGCAGCACCGCGACTGGCACAGCTGCACCTTTCCCCTCGACGGCCTTCTCCTCAAACACACGTGCTCACCATCCCTACTCCACCACCTGCCTGCCCGGGCGGGTGCTTGGTGGTACCTGCATTGCCAGAGGCTGGGCAAGTGTGGGCAGCCCCATGCTGGGGCTCAGCGAGTGTCCACCTGGGAGGATGGTTGGCCGGAAAGCGCCCACTGCCGCTGCCAACACTCCTGGCCTGGGCCCTGCCCGCCACTTCCCTGCTGCCATTCCTGGCCGTGTGCAGGCCAAAGAAAGGCATGCAGGCAGCCCTGGGGGCACTCCCCCACCCAGTCTCCACATGGAAACAAGGGGACCGGACGTTGCTCCCCAGATCAGTGCTGTATGCTTGTCACCAGGTGCGTGCCCACAGAAGGGGCCCTGACAGTGCGAAGAGGCAGCAGCAGTCCCAGGAGCGTGGCTACGGTGGCAGTGGGTCTTGCTGTCTGGCAGGCCTTGGGTGCTCACAATGCCGGGTCAGGTCTCAGCAGCATCTGGAGCCAGCAGAGGAGTGTGGCCACCAGATGCTCGCCTTCCTGTGGGAGCAGTTGCGTCGGGGTGTGCCGGTGGGTCCTTGGTGCCACGTGCCATCTCGGGCATTGCAAGCCCGCTGGGGAGAGCTGGCTGCGTGCTTGGCGCGGCGGCGTTCCGTGAGTCCGTGGAGTGGTGAAGGCAGCAAGCGCGAGCAGGGGTTGATAGTCGCACCCCCGGCCAAGTAGCTATGTCATCCCATGAGAGAGAGGCCAGGCAGGCCACCATGCCCCCGCGGTCCAGCTCTCCACGTGGAGGTTGAGCCAAGCTGGGCTGGGCTGGCTCCAAAGGACGGCACGCAAGGCGGCATTTCCCCTCACGGGGGGAAGCAGTCAGGGGCTCAGTCCCCCTGCCTTTTTGCCGACCTTCAGAGCTTTTTGTGGGGTTTCTCTTTTTTTTCTTTTTCTCTTTCTCTTTTTTTTTTTTTCCCTCCTACTCCTTTTGTGTGTGGTTGTACAGTCAAAGCGGGGTATGTGCCCGCATGTCCCTGCCAAAACAGAAAGGGGCCACTTCATGCAAGCAGTCCCAGCCCTTCCATGCACATGGGGTTGGTGCTGGAAACCAGACAACTCTTAGCACTGGACCACTCACCTCATGCGTTGATGGAGAATTCAGCTAGCTGCCAGAATTAATATGAATTGCAAGACACATTGATCATCGACACTTCAAACTCACTTGTGGCCCCGGGTTCCTCCCGGGGCTACGCCTGTCTGAGCATCGCCTGATGATCAATCATCGTCCCGGGGCCACCCCGGAGGCACAGCTGGGGTTGCCTCACAGGCCCATTGCCCGTGGTCGGCGGTGGGGGTGCTGATGGTGGCCGGCCAGTGCCCATAGGGAAGGCAGTGGGAGTCGGTGAGGGAAGCGTTTTCCTCGACGCCCTTGATCCTCTTTCCCTGCAGCCCGGTGGGCGTCACCATGGCGGTCGTCGTTGCCATGCAGGGCCTTCATCCCCCTAAATGCAGACTCGGGGAGTGCTCCGTAGCTCCCCACTCCCAGAACGAGCTGCTGGGGCAGAGCTCGTCCTTGCTGGGGCTGCGCCGTGGTGTGGTGACAGCAGCCAGGGAGAGCAAGAGACGGCATCAAGAACACCATCAAGGGTCAAGAGAGAGGGTGAGTGGGAAGCAAGGCACAGGCCTCGTTCCAGGGCTCCTAGGGGGCTGTCTGTGGGTGGGTACCATACGGGTACAGTGCCATGCTGCCACGCATGCGTGAGGCACAAGCACCTGTGATGAGGCGACACCCTTCTCCTTCCCCCTCCCCTCTGTTGTTGTCTCAGGTGCAAAGGCACTGTCACATTTCTTTCTCTCCCCACTGAGGCCATCGGGCCCTGCCTGGCCAGTCCCCCATCAGAGCTGTCTCTGCCGCACTCCTTTTCAGTTCTTGTCTCTGGGATGGGGGTCTCCATCTCCATGTTTCTCTCTCTCCCCTGGCATGCAGGCATGAGGGGAGGGAAGGAGGGGGAGACATCCATCTGGACAGCCGTCCGTGCTCTTCTTTGGGAGTGTGTGGGCAGGGCGGCGCGGCAGCACAGTTTTGGGCTTGTGACCTCAGATCCGACATGGCAACCCGCTGAATTTAAGCATATTAGTCAGAAGAGGAAAAAACTAATGAGAATTCCCTCAGTAATGGTGAGCAAAGAGGGAAAAGCCCAGCACTGAATCCCAGCCCCGCAGTGGGGCGTGGGACACGTGGCGTACAGAAGCCCCCCTCCCCGGCGGAGCTCTCGGGGGACCCAAGTCCTTGTGATCGAGGCCACAGCCCTCGGGTGGTGTCAGTCTGGTAGTGGCACCCCGTGTGTCAGGCCTGGGGCTTCTTGAAGTCGAGTCTCTTGGGAATGCAGCCCAAAGCGGGTGGTAAATTCCATCTAAGGCTAAATACCAGCATGAGACCGATAGCCAACAAGCACCGTAAGGGAAAGTTGAAAAGAACTTTGAAGAGAGAGTTCAAGAGGGTGTGAAGCCATTAAGAGGTAAATGGGTTGGGCCTGCACAGTCCCCCCAGAGGATTAAAGCCAGTGAATTGTGTTTGGCTGGCGTGGGTTCGGTGGATCCTTGCCTCTGCCTCCCTTCTGTCTCCTGGGCATCCACCTGTGGGGGCGGGCTGAGAGGGTGGTCCAGTACAGGGACCACCATCCGGCCAATGGCCAGCCCTGGCCAGGTGCATTTTCTCTGGCTCTGGGTTGGCTGGGAAGGCCTCCAGCAGGCAGGCTGCCCGGTGCCACAAGAGCAAAGGTGGGTATTAGAGCCCCCGGGCATCAGGTCTCACCAAATCCCAGGGCCAAGAGAGAGAACCACCACTGCACCCTCCTCCCCCACGTTGGTGGCACTGTGGAGGGGGGCATTGCCCCTCTGGGGCCTCAGAGCATGGCATTTCACACGGGGATGCAAGTGCCAGGCAAGATGCTGGGGCTTGTGGACCCTCTAATGAGAGGGCACAGAACCAGGAAGATCAGGTTCAAATGTGCCAAATGCGTCAGAGAAATGGGAAAATCCATAGCATTGGTTACCACTACCCAAAGTGCAAAGGCAAAACTGAGGAAACAGCACCAGGCAAATAGAGCTGTGAGGTATGCCTGAAGGGCTTCCACTTAAAGGTTGGCCTTGAGAAACATAAGAGGTTGGCACATCCAACAGTAAGAAACGAGGAATGAATTGCAGCCTCCCAACCAATGGTTTTACCAGGTAGAGGAGCCCACAAAAAGTGCTGGATGCCTGGGGAAGAGGATCACCTGATTCAATTAATGAAGAAATATGAAAGCAACAAGAACATCAACAAACTCATTGCTCAGCATTTCCCACCAGAAACCAAGAAGCAAGTTAGTGACAAAAGGCACCTTCTATTAACTAAACAACAAACCCTGGTCAAGGCAAAAACCACTGAGATAAATGAAGAGCAGCTTCACCGGGAAGAGCGCCCCCCAGTGGAAGTAGAAGTAACTACACAGAGCCAGTTAATCCAGCATTATGATTATACTGTACCAACAAAGATTGCTGAGGATATCTGCATTGCATATCGACAGGCATTTTGGGAGATCCTAGAGAGCTATGACTCAATCCTCATTATCACAGAGGCAACTGAAGACCATATGGAAAACTTTACCTTGGTGCACTGCCTTGAGAGAGCCATTAAAGTATCAAAACAATGTAAACCCCAGCCTTAGGAATAAAAAGAGGATGTTTAGGAATAAAAAGAGCATGTATCATCTTTGGAAGGAAGGCCAGGTCTCTCAAGAAGTATTTAAGGGGGCTGCTAGAGCACATAGGAAAAAAATTAGGAAGGCCAAAGCTCTGTTTGAACTAAAAATGGCGACTTCTGTAAAAGATAATAAAAAGTGTTTTTACAAATATATTAATGGCAAAAGGAAGGGTAAGTTCAGCTTTTTTTCTTTATTGGATGGGGGAGGGGAATTATTAACTGCAGATGGGGAGAAGGCTGAAATGCTTAACGTCTTCTTTGCCTCAGTCTTTAGTGGGAAGACAGCTTGTGCTCAGGACAACTGTTCTCCTGGATTGTAGATGCTATCAGGGAGCAGAATGGTCCCCCTGTTATCCAGAAGGAGGCAGTCAGAGAACTGCTGAGAAGCTTAGATGTTCATAAATCTATGGGACCAGATGGGATCCACGCCAGGCTGATGAGGGAGCTGGCAGATGAGCTGGCAAAGCCCCTCTGCATCATTTACCAGCAGTCCTGGCTCACTGGTGAGGTTCCAAATGACTGGAAGCTGGCCAATGTGACACTCACTCACAAAAAGGGTGGGAAGGAGGATCCTGGTAATTATAGGCCAGTTAGCCTGACCCCAGTACCTGGTAAGGTTATGGAACAGTTTCTACTGAGTGCCATCACACAGCCCTTACAGGATGGCCAGGGGATCAGACCCAGCCAGCATGGGTTTAGGAGGGGTAGGTCGTGTTTGAGCAACCTGATCTCCTTTTATGACCGAGTGACCCACCTGGTGGGTGCAGGAAGGGCTGTGGATGTTGTGTATTTGGACTCCAGCAAGGCCTTTGACACTGTCTCACACAGCATTCCCTGGAAAAGCTGCAGCCCACGGCTTGGACAGGAGCACTCTTGGCTGGGTTAGGAACTGGCTGGATGGCTGGAGAGAGTGGTGGTGAACGGTGCTGCATCCAGCTGGGGATCAGTCACCAGTGGTGTCCCTCAGGGGTCTGTGCTGGGGCCAGTCCTGTTCAATATTTTATTGACGACATGGATGAGGGGATTGAGTCTTTCATTAGTAAAGTTACAGAAAACACTAAGCTGGGAGCATGTGTTGATCTGCTGGAAGGGCTGCTGGAGGGCTCTGCAGAGAGACCTGGAATGGTTGGATGGATGGGCAGAGTTCAATAAAATGAAGTTTAATAAATCCAAGTCCAGGCCAAGTCCTGCATTTTGGCCACAGTAACTCTCTACAGCATTACAGGCTGGGGATGGTGTGGCAGGACAGTGCCCAGGTATAAAGGGAGCTGGGGATATTGGTTGACAGCAGGCTGAACATGAGCCAGCAGTGTGCCCTGGTGGCCAAGAAGGCCAATGGCCGCTGGCCTGTGTCAGGAATAGTGTGGCCAGCAGGAACAGGGAGGTCATTCTTCCCTTCTACTGGTGAGGCCACACTTTGAGTGCTGTGTCCAGTTCTGTGCTCCTCAGTTTAGGAAGGACCTTGAGACACTTGAGCATGTCCAGAGGAGGCAGCAAGGCTGGGGAGGGGCTTGGAACACAAACCCTGTGAGGAACAGCTGAGGGAGCTGGGGTTGTTTAGCCTGGAGAAAAGGAGACTCAGGGGTGACCTTATCATTCCCTACAACTCCCTGGAAGGTGGCTGTGGTCAGGTGGGGTTGGTCTCTTTCTCCAGGCAGCACTGACAGAACGAGAGGACACAGCCTCAAGCTGCACTAAGGGAAATGTAGCTTGGATATTAGGAAAAGGTTTTTCATTGAAAGAGTGATAAAGTACTGGAATGGTCTGCCCAGGGAGGTGGTGGAGTCACCATCCCTGGATGTGTTTTCAAAAAGGCTGGATGTGGCACTTGGTGCCATGGGCTAGTTGAGGTGTTAGGGATGGGTTGGACTCGATGATCTTGAATGTCTCTTCCAACCCAGTCATTCTTTGAAAGACTCTAAGAAAGCTCGTCTAAAGAACTGGATGAACAAAAGAAGTGCTAAAAAAAGTCACCATTTCAGGTTTCAGAGATTATTGTACACATGGGTAACTAGCATGCATCATCCTCGACAATATAGAAGCCTTAAAGTGTGAAATTCCATCCACCGAGGTCAACTCTGTATTTAAGCTGATATGGGAAACACCAGGTGTGTTCAAGGGCTTTGGAAAATTCAAAGCTAAAAAGCAAGTGGACAACAGCATGTTTCAACCCTTGATAACTTGTAAAGAGATTGAAAAGAACATCAAGGAGATGGCCAAGAAATCTCTCTGGGGTATCACCATAACTGCTAACGGAAATATTCAATCTCTGGCTTATCTCCACAACAATCCCCAATAAACTGAAAGAGTGCCAAATGGTCTTGCTTCCTAAATCCAACCAACCAGACCGACTGCCAGACATGAACAACAGGAGGCCTATTACCATCAGCTCTGTGGTCCTCAGGTTATTCTCAAAGGTCATGGTGCTATGTCTGACTAAAGCCTGCCCAATCAACCCCCAAGAGAAAGGATTTATAAGGGCAGCAGGTGGTTCAGAGGACTTAAAACTCCTACAGCTATTGTTGACAAATGCAAAAAAGGAACAGAAGGATATCACTGTTGTCCTTGTGGACATTGCTAAAGTCTTTGATACTGTAAATCATCAACATGCCTGATGGGCCTGAAGCAAAGGAAAGTTGACTAATACGTAATTAATCTCATCCAAAACATGTACAAAAACATCTCTACAAGTATGAGCACCAAGGATGAGAAATCAGATCCAATTACAATATTAAATGGCATCAAACAAGGAGACACAATGTCCCCTCTACTGTTCAACCTTACACTGTGTTTGAAAAAGACAGGTGTGTGCTAGGGAAGAGCAGGGCCTTTCCTTAAAATGGAGCTAATAAATCCTTCCCTCTGAATTAGTATAATTTTGGAATTAAGGGGCTCTCAGGCAAAGGTATGGGAAGAGGAATAACAGTTCTTTACTAGTATATCTAACAAGACAAACAAAACCAACAACAACTATGAAATTAACAGCAAACAGAACAGTCCCAGTTCCAGTCCTCGGCCACAGGCTCCCTTCCCTGTACTGCAGTTTCCATCCCCATTGGCAGTGAGCTCTGGCAGGTTCCCAGGTGAGCAGGAGCAGCTGCAATGGCCCCGTGGGGGTGATGGCTGGTGGTGTCCCAGATGGGAAAGGGATGGAGGAGAGACTTTGCTCACAGCGTCAGTCCCAGTGCTCCAACAGGATGCTGGGGTACAACAAGAGAAGAGGCAGCTGCTGGAATTGGGATGGTGAGGGTGGGGGTAGCAGCAGGACCTTCTTCCTCCAACTCCAAGAGCGAGCAACTGCATTCCCCTTTCCTTCACCTGCTTCTGATCTCGAGGTGTTCCCTCCCTTCCCCCTCACACCCCTGCTGCCCAGTGAAAGAAACTCCAAAAAAAGGAGTCTCCCAATGTCACTAGCCATCAGTGCTAGGGCCTAGCCATCAGTGCTTCTTAGCATGTCAATGGGACAAATTCCACAGACAGAGCAGAAAAGAAAAAAACCAACCTCCAACACACCAGACCCTCTGCTATGTAGATCAGAGAAAAAAGGAAAGGGGTACCAGCATGGAAATTTTAAGATCAGTGCAATGTTATTCACAGATCATCTAGTGTTACTGAGCACCTCCTGGGAAGGTATGACCCACAACATCCGATACTGGAGACCTTTTGTGATCTTACAGCTCTTAAAGCACAAGGGGAAAAGTGCCATGGCTTTTACATCAGGTCAGCTAAAGACTCATACACTGTCAGTGACTGCTCGCTGTGAACAGTGAATGGCACACCCCTCAATATGACATCCCCAGGAGACTGAGAAATCGATCTAGGACTGAGAATCCATCCACGGGTTGGCACTGCCAAGGCAGGACTGTCATCCAAAATTGTCACCTGGCTGATATAAATAAGGGCAAGGAGACCAGCTCCCGTTTAATGCCTTTATTGAGAAATCAGCTCTGGGTGGGAGCCTGACGGGTCCCGGGCACCACTGCTGCTCCTGATGGACGATCCAGAGGAGGAGGAATCCAGCTTTGTTGTGCAGCAGAGCTGGGCCTTCTGTCCTCACAGCAGTCCCACAGAAGAGCCTGGTTGGCTCCTAGTCCAGGGGTGTCACGTCCATCGGGTGCTGTTCAGGTCATGGTGACAAGGCAGGAGGGTCCTGGTTGGTGATTTCATCCTCTTCACTGTTTTTCTTACTTGGGAGTACCATTTTTAGTTTTTGATGTTATATTGGCTCGTTGTTTTTAGGGGTTTTTTTATTACTGAGTTGTGTCCCATAAGCACTTGAGGATTTCTTATTTGCCAGACACCATTTTGGGAGCAGCAAAGGCATTACCCACGGGGAGGGAAAGGGCATAGGGGCAAGGCAATTCCAGTGAGTGGGAATCAGAACAGAACAACAGCAACAACTAACATAAAAACAGGGTGTTTTCCACAGTTAACAGAACATTAACAGAACAAACAGGAGCTGGTTCGTAACATGGCTAGATCACCTTGGCAGAGCAACCCTTAAATCTTTACAAAAGATAGATCTCCTAAGAGTGTATACCATCTCTAGGTTGATCTATCTAGTAAATCATACAGATACACCAGCAGGGCTCCACAAATGCCTTGATCTACAGATTCAATCGAAGGTCAAGGATTGGCTCCATCTACCACCAAGCACTTGTGGTGCCACGTTGTACTCCAGTACAAAGGACAGAAGTTTAGGGATTACAAAACTGGCAGGATTTATTTCTAGCATCCAGGCTAGAAGATTGCATTGACTGGCACAGTCTTTGGATGGTGTAATTAAAGATCTGTTAAAAGAGGACGGTGTAACACAGAAGTATGCCAAACTATGAACTAGAGCTGGAGGAGATGGAAAACAAATCCTGCCAATATGGAATACTAAACCAACGTCCATGGTACAAGTGCCAGTGAGGGACGAGTTATCAGAATGGGAAAAGACAACCTCAAAATTTAAATATCCTAAGCCACATGACTGGAGAAAGAAAGAGTTTCAGAAGTGGAAATAACTTATATCCCAAAGCCAAGGAGTAACACGCTTTGAGAATGATACCACCAGTAATGCAGGGATTACAAACTACAGAGGCATATCTCATAGGAAATGGATAACAGCCCTACAGCTGCGTGCTCATGGCTACCTCACTTGTGAGTTCCTGGCAAGGGGTCATCAGGAGCAAGTCGTGAAGACTTGGTGGAAATGAAACATGCTCCCACATCATCGGGAAATGACCAATAACACAGGATGTGAGAATAAAAAGCCACGATGGCACCTGTGACCTTTTAACCAAGGAAGCTCAAAAAGAAAACTGGATGGTGTTTCATGAACCCCACATCAGAGATACGATGGGATGTGTATTCAAGCCAGAGCTCATTTTTGTCAAAGAACACCAAGCACATGTAGTGGACGTTCATCCGATATGAACAGCAAGAAAATTCCCTAGAGAAAGCTGCAGATGAAAAAGTTAAGAAATACGAACAACTTCAGAGTGAAACTAAAGACCTAAACAAGGCCACAAACATCAACCTCGTTGGTTTTTCTACAGGAGTGATGCCTTAAGCTTTAAGTTTTTCTGTTCTGCTTGGGTGTGCTTTTCTGATGTGCTTGGATGATGAAGACAAAACAATCCTATTCCAGTTAAGAACTCAAGGACAATTTCTTCAAACTTCAGGCCCTGAGCAAAACAATGAGGAGGGTGGGCAAGCAAGCAAGCAAGGAGGATGCAATGTCACGATTTGAGAGTATTAACTGGACAGTTGACTCCTGCATGCAAATGGACTAAAATCTATAAAAATGTGAGATCTTGTGACCAAGCTCTTTTGCTTCCACCTTGGAGCCATCCGGGCAGGGCCATGACTGTGGCACTGGTACTGCCAGGGTGTGACCTTTGAAGGCCCCTCAATAAATACCCATTTTATTCCCCTTAACTCTGTGTAGCCTCTGTTCCAGCTCCTCTTGTAGGCATCAGCACTGGCGAGGCAGCCAGGAGAGGTGAGGCATCTGGAAGATCCCTGGACTGAAAGGCCCAGCAGAGGTCCAGAGGTATCAGAGCCAAGAACCCTGGGGACAGAGGCACACGAGTGACTGAATAAAAGGGTATTCTGTTCACCATCTGGGTTAGGTGCTAGGAGGGTTTGTAAAATGTAATTTCGTAAATTGTAAATTTGTTTGGGAAACCCCAGGGTTCTAAGTAGAGTTGTTTGGCTCTTCATCCGTGGGTAAGAAGGAATGTCTTCTTAAAGAGGAAGTTTAAATTGCAGTGATGTTGGCCTGAAGCCAAAACGTGACACAGCTGATTAACTTCTGTGCTATGGCTCTGAGGGTTGTGAGTTCTAATCTCGACTCTTTGTTTGTGTCTTTTGCTATTTATTTTTGGACATCAGAATGGGTTGTGTATCCTCTTTTGAATAAGATAATAGTAGTATTCCAAGAGATAACCCTCTGGGGTTAATATTGAAAAACTGGGCAAATTTAACCAGGCAAGAGTCTATACTTTTAAAACCTAAACTTATTAGCCTCTCAGAGAAAATGTGGCCAACATATGAACTAAATGATGGAGAAACATGGCCTAAATTTGGGAGTTTAGATAGAAAATTAAAATCAAGTTCAATATCCCAAATACGTGGAGACAGATTTTCCAAAGAGTTAGAGCATGTCTCCCTTTTATGGTATTAGCATGTGAGCATAGCCTAGATAAGAAGAGAGAACATATATGGGTCTTAAAAGGTAAAAAGAAAGAGCCAACTTTCAGTAGCATATATAAAAATCCAGAGGAGGCAGAAATGGACTTGGTTGTGGCCTGCCATGAGAACAGGATCACAGCAGAATCACGGCTCAGG